GGGGCAGGCATGGAGGCTCCTGCCGATGGAAGGACTCGCGTGACTCGGGCATAAGCCCCGGCATTACCGGGACTGCGCTCTTGGAGCCTCATTAAATGGCGCTTCCCCTCCGTGCTTTAATTGCCCTCCTTGCCCGCAGCCGGGGGGGCTGTTAGCAGGGAAGCGGTGGGCTGCTGGTGGGGGGGGCGGTTATCTTGGTCCCTCCCGGCAGACCCCTGGCACGCACCACTCCCGTGCCGAGGGCTCTCTCCTGCATTCTTGGCATTGCCGAGGGGCCGCCTCCTCACCAGCCCTTTGAAAGCCAACGGGCTGGGATTTTCCCATAATCTGGTTTGAAACGTTAATCCAGTCATCCACACCAAACGCCGGGCCGGCATCCTGCCGGGGTGCTGGGGTGCAGGGTCAGTGCCACCCGCTCACCACCTTCCTAATTCCTCCTCCACTTAATTATATATCTGCTGGCAACAGCCATCTGGCACCTTGTCCTCAGCCGGCCGCAAGGTCGGAGGGCTGGGGCCGATGGGGGCTGCACCGGCGGCGAGGTGGGTCGGGCACCGTGGCACAGAGCCAGCCGTGCTGGCAGCGCCGGGTGTTTGCCCTGTGCTGGGTGAGCACTGGGAGCATTGGGTGTGTGGGGCTGGATCCCCCAGCCCAGGGGGCTCTCGGGGCGGTGGGCGGCATCTCCTATCCCCCTGGCGGGGCTGGGGTCGGCCGTGCTGTGGCATACCCTGGCACAACACTCTCACCGTGGGGACCCATCGGCAGGGCGGCACGGCCGGGCGGCCTCCCCACGGTAAGAGGATATTCTTGGGGCAGCTGCGTTACAGATTAAGTCGTTTCCACCTCCCTGCGGCCTCCCTAATTACGAAATGTAAATCTATTGACTCAGCGGCGGCAGGGCGGCCTCTCCCTGCGGCTCGCTGCCCGGCGGCTGACGTTACCTTTGCACTGAGCCTCGCCGCCTCCGCCCGCGTTTCCCCAACGAGGAACCATGCTTTGTGCTGAGCAGAAGCCGTGCTCGAGCGCCGCAGGCAGGGCACCGGCACCAGCCGGGGATCAGCACCTGCTGATTTCGGTCCGGTGGTGCCAGCGGCAGCCGGTCTGTGCCGAGCCCGGCTGCGCACTCAGTTTCGCACGCTGCTGAAACCGGAACATGTTTCTGTTCCTCAATTTTTATTTTGAGACCCAATATCTAAGCTTTCCTATGATGCCCACGCTGCCTCTCGGTGTTTGTGGGGCACGCGGCTCCTCTGCTGCGTCCTCGGCGGCGCAGGAGTGCTGTGGGCTGCCAGCGAGGTGTCTCGGCAGAGCCGGGATGCTGTCAATGCAAGGAAATCCTGCGAGGGGGTGCTGGAAGTCGCTCGTCTCTGCCCCCTTCCACCTCTCTGCCTGTGCCCGGGCAGCGAGGGGGGACAGGGGCAGCTCGGCGGATGCCGCTCGGTCACGCAGTGCCCACCGCGGTGCAGGCAGTGCACGTCCCGGCCGTGGCGGGGCACGTCCTCGCCTCGCGGCACTGCTGGCCAAGCTCCCTGGGAAGCTGCCCTCGCGCCAGGCGGTTCTGCTGGCGGCGGCAGAGCCGGATGAGGGTCTGGGGGGAGCCTTTGGGGGTGCAGCTGGGGAAGCGCCCGGCACAGGGGAACCCTGGCCTGGCCGAGCCCCTCTCCCTGCTCCAGGGTGGCAGCAGCCAGCGAGCAGCAGTGGAGCATGGTGGAGCTGTCGAAATCGCGCTGGTAACCACGAGCGGCAGTTTGCGAAATGTCCTTTGCCCGGCAGCTGCGGCTGGGTGTGCCGGCAGGGCCTTGAGGGCACTGGGCGGGAACGGGGCTCCCTCTGCTCGCCGGCCCCGGTGACCCACCGTGGCTTTGTCCCGGCTGGGGATGGGGGGGAGAGTGGCCACAGCCGGTGGAGTTTGGCATGGGACCACCGCGGCCGGTGGGCGGTGGGGGGCACGTGGAAGGACGGCACACGGGACAGCCGCCCGCCTGCTGCTGCTAATCCCCACGACCCGGCCGGCACACGCTTTCCTCAGCTGACAGTTAATTTTCTTTCATCCTCTTAAACGCGTCCGTTCCCCTCAGGACTGAGCCCAGGGGGGGCCCATGGCTGGGGGGGTCGCGGCAGTAAATGAACCGGTACATTTCTCCCTTCCAAAATGCAGCCACAGCTCCCACCTGCAGCTGGGGGAGAGTGGCTTTATTTAAGAGCTGGCTTTATAAAAATTGAATGAACCAATGTTTTCATAAACGGCTGATCGATTTTTAGAGCTCTGCAGGTTAATAGGTTGCTCGTGACCCCCTTGCAATGCGCCAGGATGGCTCCATGGTTGGTGCTGGCCAGTCATGCTTGTGCTCTGCCGCAATTCGGGACCCCAGGCCCCAGGGACCGCACAGGGACTGAGGCCAATGCCGCTGCCAGCTCTCCCTGGGGACGGGCGAAACCCTGCCAGCGCCGGGGGCATGGTCCCATTCTGCCAGCACTTCTGTTTTTTCACGTTTCCCTTTCTCCCAAGCAGGAGGGTGATGGTTTTCCAGCCCCCCATCCCCTCCACTGCACCACGGCACTTCTCCCCCCCAGGTTTGTATTTAATCCCCCGGCTGGGCTGAGTGTGCCCCGGCTGCCCGGCACACCGCCTGCCACTCCTGTGTCTGACACGCAGGAGCCGCGGCAGCACTGGTGCTGCCCCGCAGGTTGGGGGTCCCCGGGGTGCTGGGGTGCAGCATCTCTGCCGCGGTGCTGGGAGGCTGCAGCCTCTGCCCCAGCTCCTGCTGCGTAAGCAGGGCTGTCACCCCATTAGCGGGATTAACGGGGCGCAGGGGGGGTTTAGGCTGGGGTTAACCATGGGGGGCAGCAGGGGTGCCGCGGGTGGTGGAGCTGCAGGCGGGAGGCTCGGCACCCCTCAGGATCGTGCCGCCACGGTGGGCGCAGGGGAAGCCCTTTCTCTGCATGCAGCTTTCAGAGTCGCTCAAGGAAACGGGGGAGGCCGGATTGGCGCCGGCCCAACATCCCTCCGCCGGTCGGGAGCAGCCTGCATGGCTCAGCCCGAAAAACCACGGTGGTGCCCCCTGTGCTGTGTCCCACCCCTGCCCTGCCGGGGGGCACCGCTCCACTTCCCCCGTGCCGTGGTCCCTCCGGGCTCCCCCTGCACACCGGACCCCTTGCCAGGGCGCTGGGGTGGGAGAGGGGCTTTGAGGGGTCTCAGCCAGTGGTGACGGCAACTCCTGCCCCTTCTCTGGGGTTTGCTGGGGGCCAGGCGAGCCTTGCGAGGTTTCCAGGGAAACTGGGGGTTTATGGCTTTCCTGCAGCGCCCTGCCCCTCTTATCGTGCGGCCCCATTGATCCCTTTGATCGGTGCCGGCCGGCGAGTTGTTCAGCCCTGCGGGATCCGGATCCTCCCTGGGGGGCGGTGGGAGGATGGGGCTTGCACCCCTTGCTCACAGCCGGGGCGACGGCTGCCCGCCCGCGGGTCCCACTGCCGCCGGGGTGCCATGCCGGGCACGCCCACGGGACGAGCCGGGGTATCGGTGACCCGGTTAACGTGCTGATCTGCTGCCGTGCGGTTGGCGGCCCCGTGGTGCGTGCCTGATGGGTTACGTGGTAATATTTATAGCCCCCCTCCCGGCCGCCGCGGCACCGCTGGCAGTTGTTCAAAGCTGTCATTGAGAAAAACGGGAGCCGCTCAGCATCGAGGGGCCAGGGGTGGCAGAGCCGGGGTGAGGGAGGGCTGCGACATCCATCCCCGCAGCGTCCGGGCAGCGCCTGCCCCGCATAGCCCTAGCTCTGAAACCCCTCCTGCAGGGGACGATTATCCACCAGCCATCACCTCCGGGCAGAAACCACGCTGGGCTTCAGCTACCAGCATCGGGGAGAGGCAGAGCCGGCGTGGCGTGCCTGCCTGCGTGCCGGGACGCTCAGGCCAGCAGATCCTGCTGCCATAAATCAGGCAGGAATGTGCCGGGCTGTCGGGCGCAGGGTGGGGTCCCGACAAAAGCTGCCCCAGCAGAAACGGGTGCTCGAGGCGCAGCCGTGCCAGAAGCCTTGCCCGGGTCTGCCTGCCCCAGCTCAGAAAGACTCGTCCTGGCTGCGTAGCGCGGTGTGGCGTGGTGGGGTTCATCCTGCCGGGTTTGCTCTGGCAGCTGTGCCTTGGGCAGCATGGAAGCCTTGGGGGAGACGCTGTAGCAGGAGGAGAGGGGGCCAGCCCCATGGCCACTGTCCGATGGGCACAAAGCCTGACCGGGGCAGCCCACGCTCAGTGCCAGCCTCACCAGGCAGAGGGGAGCAGGCTCTGCCAGGCGGCATGGCAGCCAGTGGCATGCCACAGCTGGGAGAGTGTCCTGCAACCGGGTACAGCTCAGCACCCTCCTTGCCTCGTTACAGCCCTCGTTTGCTGGGTCTGTACCCCCAGGGACCCCCTTTCAGCACACCGCAGGAGGCACAAGCGTGCACCGTGGCACACGAGCGTGCACCGTGGCACACGAGCGTGCACCGTGGCACACAAGCTCGCCGGCTCCTGACGCTGGCTCCTGGCACTGGCTCCCTCCAGCACTGCAGGTGCAGAGGATGGATCATGCCGAAGCGTTGCTCTACTCTGTGCCGAGCACACGGCAGATGCTAAAAATAACCGGGATCGGTGTTCCCGGGAGGAGCTGGGGGCCGATCGCAGCACTTGCAGTGTGGGAGCCACTCCAGCCTGTGGGCGAGGCGTGGGGCAATGCTGCAATTTCAGCACCGGTGTTTCGGGGCCGAGCTCTGAGTAGGGCAGGCAGGGGATGGCATTGCCATCCCGGGGCTCCTGCCGGGGTGCAGGCGCAGGTCAGCCCCAAGCTGACCCCATGGCTCTGTGCAGGGACCCCCCCGAGGCATTTGGTGTCTTGCGAGCTGAACGGCTCAGGCTGGCGGGCTCAGGCCCCAGGGATGCAGTTTCGGGAGGGTCAGGGCTCTCCGGGCGGCGGGGGGCACGGGTAGGTTTTTTTTTCTGAGCGTTTGTCTTCTCTCGTTGCGCAGCTGTACGAGCTGGACGGTGACCCCAGGAGGAAGGAGTTCCTGGACGACCTCTTCAGCTTCATGCAGAAGCGAGGTGAGCCCCCCCGCACGCCCACCCAGCTCCCTCCCCACGCCCTCCCGGGGCCGGGGGCTCATTTCCTCACCCCTCGTTACAACCCCGAGGTCACAGCTCTGGCTGGCCCGCTGGTTAATTTTTAACCTCTTTGCACAGCGGGGTCAAACCTGCTGGGCTGGATCCGGTGCCTGCGGCCCCTCCTTGCCCAGCCCCACTCCCCGCGCCCATCGCATCTGGGACCTGCGGCCCCTTCCCCACAGGGTCCGGCCCCTCCTGGGCACGTTGCCCCTGGCTTTGCCTCCCCCCACTGTCCTTTCCCTGGGTTATTGCAGAGGACAAAGCCCCTCGCTGCCTTCTCGCTCTGCCTGGGCTGGCAGGGGCTGGGCGCAGGGTTGGGGGGGGGCCGGGAGGGTAGAAAGGGCTGAACGTGAAGCGTTTGCCCGGTCGAGGGTCTGGTTCCTGCGTGGAAAACAGCGCTGGAAATGCTGACGCATCGCTGCCTTCAGCCTTTTGTCAGGCAGGCGTTGGGGGAAGCACGTGTGCGTGCGCGGGGGGGCCGGGGAGCTGCTGGCCCAGCTCTGGCTGCGTCCCACTGGGGCCCTCCCTGAGCCCCCTCACCCACCAGTGCCGGGAGGGCAGAGACCCCTGGGAGGGAGGAGATGCTGCAGCCCCTTCCCCGTCACCGGAGGGATGAATCCCCGCCATGTACGTGCGGCCCCCGGCTCGGCGGGACCCTCGCGGCCGGGAAGCGCTGCCGCCGTTATAAATAACTTGTGTTGCCGGGTGCCGCCGACCTCAGCCTGAGAAACCGCGCTCGGCCCCATTTTGGGGGCTGTGGCTGAAAACTGCGAGTTTCTGTTTCCTTTGTGCATGGGGCTGATGCTCAGCAAGATGGCAGCGGGGGGGGGGTCCCAAGGGGGAAAGAAGGTGATAGTGGAAGGGAAGGGAGGAGCAGGAGCCCCCGACCCCTGCGCTGCCTCATGGGGGGGGTCTCGCCAGCTTCCCCCCCTCTTTGCCCGGGGGTGAGAAAGCAGCAGCCCAGACCCGCTCTCTCCTCCCCCCGCTCCCCAGGGACCCCCGTCAACCGGATCCCCATCATGGCCAAGCAGGTGCTGGACCTGTACATGCTGTACACACTGGTGACGGAGAAGGGCGGCCTGGTGGAGGTCATCAACAAGAAGCTGTGGCGGGAGATCACCAAGGGGCTGAACCTGCCCACCTCCATCACCAGCGCTGCCTTCACCCTGCGCACCCAGTGAGCGGCGGGGGCTGCGGGCGGGGGGGGGGGGCGGGGGGGGGGGGGCGAATCCTCCGGCAGGATCGGCGCTGCCCGTGCTCCCTCTGCCCTGCGTGGGATGCTGGACACGGGGACGGTGGGGAGGGAGGGGGCAGCACACGGGCAGGGGGTGCCCAGCCGCCACGTCACCATCACCATCCTCATCCCCGTCCATTTCCGCTGGCAGGTACATGAAGTACCTGTACCCCTACGAATGTGAGAAGCGAGGGCTGAGCAACCCCAACGAGCTGCAGGCAGCCATCGACAGCAACCGGCGGGAGGGCCGCCGGCAGGGCTTCGGCAGCTCCCTCTTCACCTACTCGCCCGGCGGCACCCATGGCCTCCTCTCCTCCCCCAAGCTGCCAGTGCCGGCGCTGGGGCTGGCCTCCGCCACCAACGGCGGGTCCATCGCTCCCGTCCAGAAGATCAAGAAAGGTAAAGGCCGCCGTGGGGTCTGGGCTGTGGGCTGAGCCCCGTCCTGGCACCGGGGACGCAGCCCCGAAAGGGGCAGAGCTGGGCGCCGCAGGCAGGGGCGTCACACTCCCGTCCCTACCCGGGCCCTGGACACCGGGGCTGGTTTCGGGGACCCTGACTCCAGTCACCCTGCTCTGGCTCTTGGAGGGGCAGGAGGTGCCAGGCACCCCCCGGCACGGAGACAAGGTGCAGAGGGGCCCTGAGCCATTGTGCCAGGGCCGGGGACACCCCGGGGTGATGGCACCCACCTGTCCCCGTGCCCTGCATCCCTGACCGCCCGCTCTGCCCCTGCAGAGGAGGAGTCCCCCATCCCCATCTCCATGCCCAGCCGGCTCCCTGTCTCGCTGGCCGGCCACCCCGTAGTGGCAGCCCAGGCGGCCGCGGTGCAGGTGGCGGCGGCCGCCCAAGCCGCGGCACTGGAGCAGCTGCGGGAGAAGCTGGAGTCGGGGGAGCCCCCGGAGAAGAAGATGGCTCTGGTGACGGATGAGCAGCAGCGGCTGATGCAGCGGGCGCTGCAGCAGAACCTCCTGGCCATGACGGCCCAGCTGCCCATGAGCATCCGCATCAACAGTCAGGGCACCCGCTCGCCAGGTCAGTGCCAGCCCTGGCCCCCCGCCCCGGCAGAGCTGCCGCGGCCCCTGGTCCCGGCGGGGTCCGTAACCCAGCTCTCCCCCGGCAGAGAACCGCCAGGACTCCGCCGCTGGCCTGAGCAGCAACGGCACCAACAGCATCAGCATGTCGGTTGAGATCAACGGTATCGTCTACACAGGTGAGGGGCTCTGCCCGCCGCCGGCCGAGGGCTGCTTGACCTCTGCCGTCCCCAGTGGCCCCCGCTGCTGCTGCCACCACCGCGCACCACCTGGCCTTGCTCCTGCTGGCGTTCACCCCGTTTTCGGCTGCGGATGCGGTGCGGGTAGGCAGCATTGGCACAGCCGTGCCGTACCCTGGCTCAGCCCCTTGCTCTCTCCCCAGGTGTGCTGTTCGCCCAGACGCCCGGCCCTTCCTCCTCCTCTTCCTCCTCCTCCTCGCTCCCCTCCTCTGCCTACAGCAAAGGCAACAGCAGCAGCAGCAGCAGCCGGAGCAGCGGCACTGGTGGCGGCAGCGGGGTGGGGAGCGGCGGTGGCGGCAGTGTCCCCCCTGCGGCCCCGGCCAGCCTGGCCGTGCCCCCCAGCTCTACCTCCAACAACGCTTCGCCTTAATGCCCCCGGCTCCCCCGCCCCCTTCCCCTCGCCACAGCCCGC